CCTGTTATCCTCTCACATCAAAATCCATGAATATATTTGTTTAGAATTGTTTGGGACTGTTTTCAAATGTAAACGGTGCTTAATCTGTTCATATTTCACTCCTGGTTAAGACGGGACGACTTTTTCACTGGAGAAAGTAATATTAAGGATAGAGCCAGAAGCAACTTTTTGAAGTTAAAAACATCTTAATGATGGATTTGTTTGTTACAAACACACAGCTTCTCACTTCACAAGATGTTAACTGATGGACTGGAGTGGTGTGGATTGTTTGTGGATTATTGTGATGTTTTTATCAGCTGTTTGGACTCTCATTCTGACGGCACCCATTCACTGCAGAGGATACATTGAGCATGTGATGTAATGCCATATTTCTCCAAATCTGCTCCCACGAAGAAACAAAGTCATCTACATCTATTTTGACTTGAGCCAGTAAGCAACCACCTAGCAACCCCAGACCACCCTAGCAACGTGCTGGCAACCACCCACAACTTTTTTAATAGTTCATCGACAAGTTTTGTGGATAAATATCTCCCCGTGCTTTTATTCTTGAGATGCAATGTGTCTTGTTTTCAATTTATCAGCCAAAGAACATGATCATCCAGATCAGTTTGTTTCTCTCCATGCCAGTGTCCTCCATCTATCTTTCTCTCTGCCGTTTAATGATTTCTCCTCGGCTCCTGCGGCGCACAGGTCTCTCATGCACCGGGGATTTAAATCAGGCGGCTGTGTCGAGCAGATCTGCCCTCACAAGGACCCGCAGATCACACATAGCCATGATTCAGGCAGTCAGACAGATTGGAAGGGGAAAGAAATGCTACAGGGTTTGTGGCTATAGATGACATATCTCATCCCGTCCTGATGAACAAATCAGCGTAAGGTGGTTTGTGCTGGTTTAGTTGATTTCTCAAACTGACCTATAGCTGACAAGTGCCCCTACCCTTCTGAAAATTAGCGAAACAGAGCAGGTTCAATTTGGCAAGGCTGGATGACCTTAGATACATTTTTTTTTCAGCAGGATGATCTAAGTTGGTTAGTTGACATAGTGAGATGTCAGTATACATTTGTGCATAAAGGTTTTTAGGTGATACCGAGTTAAACTGCAGAATGTTTCTTCTTTTCCGTTTTGTAGCTTTTTTCTAAGCAAACATGCACTAGATGGATGCATCTTGCTATCTTGTGCCATGAATGCGGTATTTTTAGGATGTTGTGTCTGCATGTAGAGTTAAAAACACATTTCAAGACCGCTCCAGAGATGTTGTATTGTCTGGGATGTTTCCTCTATTTCTTAGTAAAATAAAAATAGACACAAATGAAAAGATTTCTGACATATTGTACGAGTATACAGCTATCAAATCAATGGATAGAAGTGGATAGAAACTTAAATAATTTCGTCTTGGAAAAATGTGATGAGAAATATCTGAGATCATATTAAGATCTCTTAATATGGTGTGCTTAAATTAGTATTTTGGCAAATCTGACACAGTTTGAAAAATTTTTTTAGTTTTGGGTCTTTTTGTTAGGAGAAAAATCAGAGAAACTCGATGCTTATAAAAATCGGTGCAATTTCTTTAATGCTTTTGAAAGTCTCTTTTGCTCACCAAGGCTGCATTTATTTGATCAAAAATACAGTAAAAACAGTAATATTGTGAAATATTATTACAGTTTAAAATAACTTTTCTATTTGAACATTTTAAAATTGTATTTATTTCTAATATGCAAAGCTGAATTTTCAGCATCATTACTCCAGTCTTCAGTGTCACACGATCCTTCAGAAATCATACTAATATGCTGATTGTAATGATCCACTGAGGCGAGTTGAAGTGAACCCAAGTGCAGTTTATTCCAAACATGAGCAAATACAATCCAAACAGCCTTGGCGTGACAAGAAACATTACATGACCATGAAAACAAACTCACCAACAGTAGTACAGGGAACAATTCTAGACAAGGAACAATGGCAACATGAGGGCTATATAAATCAAACAAAGGGGGTCACATGACATAAATCCAACCAATGAGAACATAACACATAAATTAGACAACCAATAGAAACAGAGTCACATGAGGAAACATGGAATCACATGACTATCAGAGACCATAGGTGTGTTTGGCTTGAAGCGATGCTGCGCAGATTGATCGGTGTGACAACAAAGTACCGTGAGAATGGTTCGACAGCATGCAGAGCATACCGAACACAACTCATTACGGAGCCCCGCACATGACATGCAAGAAAAAATAAATAAATCGTCAGCATTCAGCAAATACGCATTTAAATCATTTGAACAAATCTTTGAATGTCTTTTAATGAACATTTAATTTCACAAACCTTGCAAACTTAGTCGAGGCTTTATTTGAAAAAATATGATTCCCAATGCACACAAACTTCGCAGATTACTTAGTGCCCTGTTGGTTACAATGTTGTATACAGCTTTTTATTAAATATTTATTTATTTGTGAAAAATACATGGTCATCTAAAGTATAAGTATGTTTATTTTACACATTTATTTTTAAATCCATTTTCAAATGATTTCAAATTTCTTAAATATTAATTAAAATAATAAAATTATATCGGCTTTATATCGGCCATCGGCCACCCTGCTTTCCAAGATATTGGCATCGGCATCGGCTGTCAAAAAACCAATATCGGTCAACCACTACACATGATTACTATTTCGTTATCGATTTGCTAATTCGTTCCCTCGATTTGCTAAATCGTGCGCACAATTTACTAATTCGTTCTCTCGATTTATAAATCGTGTGCACGATTTAGCAAATCGAGGGAACGAATTAGTAAATCGTGCACACAATTTATAAATCGAGGAAATAGTAAATCGATGGAACGAAATAGTAATCGTGTGCACGTTTTAGCCTACTATTTTTTTCCTGCATGCCATGTGCAGTGCTCCGTAACTCATGACTGGGACAAAATTACAAAAAAGACAAGAAACGTAAACTTGAGACAAAACACAAAACCACGTTACACTGATCTGCTACTCAAGAAACATTTCTTATTATTATCAGTGTTGAAATAGTGATACATTTATTTTTGGGATTCTTTAATTTAATAGAAAGTTCAAAAGGACAGCGTTTATTTGAAATAGAATGATTTTGTATCTTTATAAATGTCTTTAGTGTCACTTTTGATCAGTTTAATCCTTGCTGAATAAAAGTATTTAAAATCAAATAAATTAAAATTTAATTTAAAAAATAAAATGAAATCTTACTGACCCCGAAGTTCTGACGGGTCTTTTGTTGTTATCTCCTTTGATTTCTCTTTGTTGAGGGAGCTGCTTATTCTCAGTGTTAGTCAATGCAAGATGCATAGCTAACATGAGCTATCTTACTCTGTTAATGTCAATTCAGGCGGTTCTACAGGGCCGTTGAGTCTCAGTGGACGTCACGCAGGGATGTTTTCGTGGCAGGATTTACAGTATTGATGCAGTATGTTTGTGTAGCACACACGAGCGCTAATGGATGCTGGTGTGGACAGCATGGGAAGGTCACTTTGACGCAGGTCTGACGGGTCACAGGAAACAGAGCAGAGATTCAAAACCTCTCAGGATCTCCCTCTATGTTTTCACCACAGTCTGACAGATGGAGTCGTGCTCAAAGGGAAATGTCTTTAAATGTTTAATTAACAAATCAAAGAGAACACAGCAAGAGGGCCGAGTCCGGTGTGTGTTGGTGGAGTTTTTCACACTTGGATCTCTTGTTTCCATAGGAACCGGCTCCCTTTAATAACTCTCAGCAGGTCTACAATGAACTTTTCAATTTTTTATTCCTCTCCTGCTCTCTCATTGTTTATGTCTCATGTCAGTTTTCAAGAATAGAGCGTTTTACTAGCAGTGTACAAAATTGCAACTCATGTAACTCCTGTAATATCTCTTTATTTCGTTCGGATCATTTCAGTGGGGCTGCATGTCTTTTCTGACAGCAGGGGGGAACTAAAAATGAAAATAATAAAGTGAAGCTGGAGGATTAAATATTAATAAGCCTGTGAAGCTGTAGGATTAAATATTATGGAAACATTAATACATTTTAATATTTGTATGCAAACAAATTTTGTCACTGTTTCGGGTAATATAATATGTAATATAATATCAGGGTCTGGACGCAAAAGCAGTTGAAAATCTTAAGTAGAAATCATTATTTATTTGTCTCATGATCTCCACATAACATTTGTTGTAAATTGATCAAAAGTGACAGTAAAGACATTTGTAATGTTACAAAAGATTTCTATTTCAAATAAATGCTAAAATATTAAGCAGCACAACTTGGGGTGGGGTGGGGGGGGGAGACTAACCGAATCGACCGGCTCAGTTTGGCCCCCACGAGCTCAAATGTCAAGCTACGCCTATGTTTTCAACATTGATAACAATAAAAATGTTGTTTATTGAGCATCAAATTATTTCTGAAGGATCATGTGACACTGGAGACTGGAATAATGGCTGCTGAAAATTCAGCTTTGCATCACAGAAATAAATTACATTTTAAAATATATTCAAATAGAAAACAGTTATTTTAATTTGTAATAATATTTCAGAATATTACAGTTTTTACTGTATTTTTGGTCAAATAAATGCAGCCTTCGTGAGCAGAAGAGACTTACCGACCTCAAACATTTGAATGGTAGTGTAAACGGCAAAATACCAAATATATTAAATCAAATGTATTTTTATTTCTATATTTTAGTTACTGTTTTAGTTATTATTTTAACCATCTGTTGATGTAGATAATTTTATTTATTTACTTCTTTTTTTATTATCTATCTATCTATCATCTATTTATTTATTTAATTATTTACTTATTTATTTATACATAGTGAAAAAGGAACACTATAATGTTCCTCCTAAACAGGCACAGGCAAGCATCTCTCACATTATCTTCAAATTATGCAAAATAAAATGGCACCGAATGAACAATGTAGTACTTGCAAAAGCACTGGCCCAGTAGAAACTTTACATCAGCTTTACATTAGTTATCTTTTGTGTGTTTTCAGGTGTTCACGCGTTACGGGAAGTGTTACACCTTTAACTCGGGTAACACCGGCGCGCCGCTGGTCAGCGTGAAGGGAGGGATGGGAAACGGCCTGGAGATCATGTTGGACATTCAGCAGGACGAATATTTACCTGTGTGGGGAGAGACAGGTGAGGCCGCACGAGGAAAACCCCAGATGCACACTACTCCTATATCCTTCCTCTCACTCTCTCGTTTTCTCTCACAGACGACTCGTCGTTTGAGGCGGGAATCAAAGTTCAGATTCACAGTCAGGACGAGCCTGCGTTAATAGATCAGCTGGGCTTCGGAGTCGCACCAGGATTCCAGACGTTCGTTTCTTGCCAAGAGCAGCGAGTGAGTGTCATATTAATATACGCTTTATATTGATTGTTTCCCTTTCATGGGAACTTCGAACTGCGTCCTCTAGGGGTCGCTATGGGGAACGCCTCGTCGTGACCCGTGTCTGAAGCATACATTGAAAAAACACCAACTTGTTGGCCGGCGACAGCCATGACGTCACTACCGGTGCGACTATAGTATAAATAGGCGCCGGGAGCACACATCATTCTCTTCTTCGTCTTCATTGACTGTTCTGTTTGAAGCGTGCATTTCCAAGGAAAAAGTAAGAGCTATCTCTATATGTAACCATGGTTCCCTGAGGGGAATGAGACACTGCGTCCTCTAGGTTTCTTGCCATGCTGCGGACGCAAGCTTCAGATGAAGAAGTGAATGATGTGTGCTCCCGGCGCTTATTTATACTATAGTCGCACCGGTAGTGACGTCATGGCTGTCGCCGGCCAACAAGTTGGTGTTTTTTCAATGTATGCTTCAGACACGGGTCACGACGAGGCGTTCCCCATAGCGACCCCTAGAAGACGCAGTGTCTCGTTCCCTACTCAGGGAACCATGGTTACATAAGTAACCTGAGACGTTTTTCTGTTTTTTTACACTAGTACTATTTCATTTTCAGCTGGTGTATCTTCCTGCTCCGTGGGGCAGCTGCAAGGCAACCCCGCCGAGCTCAGACTACTTCAAAGCGTACAGCATCAGCGCCTGTCGAACGGACTGCGAGACACGCTACCTGGTGGAAAACTGCAACTGCCGCATGGTGCATATGCCTGGTGAGGCACTGCTATGATTACAGCATTACTTTACAACATCAAAAGCATTTTACTCTAATATTGCAGTTACTGTAATGATACAGTTCAGAAGAGTCCATCAGGTCTGTGAAATAGTTAACAGTATCATTTATTGTCCGTGTTGTGAAATTAAATGTCAAATTGCTTCACATGATGGCTTTATACACTGTCTATCAGTGTTGTTGTTGTTAACTAAAACTATTACAAATATTTTTTCAATAACTGAAATAAAGCTGAAATCAAATATAAATATTAGATGAAAAACTAAAACTTAAGAAACTTAAATGAAAATTAGAAATGCTTTCTTAGCAACTAACTGAAATAAGTTGAAGTACTAAAATTACAAAAACTAAAACTGAAATTTAAAAAAGCTATATAACACAAGCTATAGAAATATATAAAAAAGTTAATAAAAATGACAAAAGCAGATAAATGATTAGAACTAAAATTAAATAAAAAATCAAAGATATTAATAAATATAATAATAGTATAAATTCTAATACTAAAATGAAATTGTCTATGTCCTTCTCTTTTTCTTATGCCACTTGAACTTGATAATGACAAAGTTAAATTTTAGTCAGTTTGAAGAGTTTCTATAATGGGGCAGTAAATTGTCCTGTTACGTAAATGCTTCAAACTGACCCTAAAGTCTTTAATGATTGTGCACATTCTAGATTACAGTTGCTGTAATTGTGCTTAACAGTCACATTTATAACATACTAGCAGTACTTCAAGTATCTGCCTCTAAAAAAAGCAGAGTTCACAACTGCGTTGAGGTCAAGTTAATCAAGCGAGTGAAACCAAATTAAACCTGCTCCTGTTAAAGCGCCACTGGCACTGAAGTGCAATTTAGTTGATTACAGAAGGCTAAATTAACATATATCAGTGTGGGATTTTAACTCGAGGCAATTTATATCTGCAGTAAGGACTCTGTTATGATGCACAAGAACACGGTAAGAGAATTTAGATAGAAGTGCTTGAGGTTTTTAATACTTATTATGAATTGAGAAGGACTGAGTGTTAAGAACGTTTTGATCTTATGATTTATTTTAGTAATTTTTTATGTGCTTTTGTTATTTTTATTAGTTTTTTTGGTCACACTTTACAACAAGGTCTTGTTTGTTAAGATAATAATGAGCAATATATTTTTTGCAGTATTTATTAACCTTTGTTAATATTAGTTAATCAAATTAATTATGTTCGTGAATATATACATACTTAAATGTATTTATTTCAGTTAGTTGCTATGTTTCCGCTTTTCATCCAATATTTATTTTTTATTTCAGCTTTATTTCAATGAACAAAAAATGGTTTTAATAGTCACCTTTTGAGAAAAGGCAAGAATTTTGAAAACTAAGAATATTATGACAGAATTGATTTTTGAGCAAATCATACTTCGACATTTACTGCCCCTGCAGGTGATGCGCAGTACTGCACTCCTGTGCTATATAAAGAATGTGCACATCCAGCACTAGGTAAGTAACTTTAATCATGAATCAATGTCAGAAACACAGTTTATCTTTCAGATGAGCCATGATTTTAATGTTTACAGTGCTATAATTTATCTTGTTCCGGTTGCACAGATTTCCTGGTGGAGAGGGACAGTGACTACTGCTCATGCGAGACTCCGTGCAACATCACGCGCTACAGTAAAGAGCTATCCTTCGTCAAGATCCCCAGCAAAGCGTCAGTCAAATACCTTGCAAAGAAGTACAGCAAATCTGAGAAATACATAACGTGAGTGTTTCATAAGCATTGATTGCTTTGTTACCTTGGTAACCCTGGTGGTACCTGTTTTCCATCACAATCTCTGTTTTGAACATTTCTTAAAGGTGCTGTATGTAATTTTTTGACTGTACTAAAGCATAAAAATGCCATGTTTACAGATATTTAGAAAACATAACTAGTTCACATACTTATTTCTCCGAAAAACTATGCTACAGCCAGTTATTCCACTTTGAAATGTGTGTTCTGTGTCGGAATGTCTGTTTTTGTTTTGGTCTGTGTTTGGTCCCATTGCCAATTCACCCAATAGGATTTCAACAGCCCGGGTTGCCAGTTGGCAGAAAAAATAACGTATTGCAGCCATGGAAACGAGCAACTTCCTGCTCAATCTGGTTTAGAGATCGCAGATTCTACCCGACCTAAAAAGCCTCGGCACCCATCTAAAAAGCTCTGTGACCAGAGGCATATTAAAACTGCGATAATTCACAGTTTAAGGCTTGTCGTTTTCCATTGTCAGTTGTGCTTGTTCCTGTAGTATGTCCTTAATCTGGCAACCCGCGTGAGCATCGAGTCTGGGGAGGAGGGGGCATTCAATATTTTGAATTTAGACTGCAGTACCCATTTCAACCGCTGGCTGTCAGTATTACGTACTGATATCAACATTGGCTACCAGAAATCGCTTACTCTGCCTTTAACTGATTAACTGTGTAGATACCAGTGACTACAGTGTGCTGTGTATTTTAAAAAAGACAAAAGTGTTGGATAATGTGTCACTTTAGCATTTTAATTGATAATCTGCCATACTGGACTGTCAAAAGTATAAGAATTTCTGTGATAGTTTCTATTGTTTTTTTTCAGCAGGGTAATGATACCCATACTGTGCTGCACATTATTGGCAATATTGAGCTGAAGCTTGACTTTGCAAATTTAAAATCGCAAATCTAATCGCAATCGCAATATCTGTCAAAAAAATCGCAATTTGATATTTTCCCCCAAATCGCACAGCCCTAAATTTCTAATTGATCATTCTAATATGCTGATTTGGAAACTGATACCATTTTTCAGGATCTTTTTATGAATAGAAAGAACAGCGTTTATTTGAAATAGAAATGTCTTAACTGTCACTTTTGATCAATTTAATGCATCCTTGCTGAATAAAAGTATTAATTTCTTTCAAAAACTAAACGGAGAATATCACAAACTTGAATAAGAAGCCACCTAGAAATTAGCCAAAACATCTTAGCGAATGTATAGCAACACCCTAAAATTGTGGCAATGAGTTTTGCACCTCTCAGGTTTTCTTCAAGAAATGTAAATGTTCAGTCTGTGTGTGTTTGTGTGTTGGTAGGTGATATCGGAGGACAGATGGGGCTGTTCATTGGAGCCAGTGTTCTTACGATTTTGGAGCTTTTTGACTACCTTTATGAGGTAAGATTTATAATATATCTGTATGGCTGTTCTGTCCTGTCATAAACATTTCTGCTGGGATTTGTGTGGTGACATTTTTACTAAAGGAATATTTGAACCACAAATGAAAATTCTGTCACCCTCATGACATTCCAAACTCACATGACTTTCTTTCTTCTGTGGAACACAGACTTTTCTGCTGAAAGTCGCTATTCACTAAAAATCTCTTGCTACATAACCCATTGCAACATGCCAAGCTTACATACAGTACCATTCAAACATTTGTGGTTGTTTTTAAAAGAAATTAATACTTTTAATTAGCAATGATGCATTAAATTGATCAAAAGTGACATCAAAGATATTTATTACGTCTTTCTATTCATCAAAGTATCCTGAAAAAATGGTTTCTACAAAAATATGAAGCAGCACAACAGTTTTCAACATTGATAATTATAAGAAATGTTTCTTGAGCAGCAAATCAGCATATTAGAAGGATCATGTGACACTGAAGACTGGAGTAAAGATGCTGAAAATTCAGCTTTACATCACAGGAATAAATTACATTTCCAAATCTATTAAAACAAAAAAACAGTTATTTTAAATTGAAATAATATTTCACAATCTTAGTGTTTTTACTGTATTTTAGATCAAATAAATGCAGCTTTGGTGAGCAGAAGAGATTTCTTTCAAAAACATTTTAAATATCTCACCAACCTCAGACTTTTGAATGGTAGTGTATGCAATATGTTCTATGGAAGAAAGAAAGTCTGAAAATTTAAAGTAAGTAATGACAGAATTTTCATTTTGGAGTGAACTAACCCTTCAAAGACAATATCACAACATCTTTTTGTCTGTCAAGGTAATGAAATACAGGTTGTGCCGCTGCTCTGACAAGAAGCATCACAACAACAACAACACTGATCACGGCACTGTACTCGGCCTGGATGATGTTAAATGTCACGTCAGTAAATTCCATTAACATTCCTGCAGAAATTCCAGCTGTTTGCCTGCCACTCATATTCAGATAATGTTCTACATTTTAGCAGATGGCATCACAACACCAGCACAGTTGTGTTTTCTTCAGATTGTTCTGGCATCTTGTGGTTGTACTCTCTCTCTTATGCCTATGTGATTTTTAAGGATTTTTCCAAAAATGTTTTGTGGTTTTCTGAAAAACCTGCTTTTGATTTATAAGGCAGGAATGTCAAAAACGTTTAATATTAATTAAAATGTTCGATCTTTGTCTGCATGGCCTTTTGTGACAGAATTGCATCTGCTAGCTTGAGGCGTTACTCTATGTGTCATATTTTATTAATTCTGTGCATCTTAATGGCTATGATATGGCTGTAAATGCATTGTGACAAGCGATTCATTGCACAAGGCATTGTGTGAGGGAACACCAGTCTGAAAGGAAGAGTTCACCCAAAAATTTAAATTTGCTGAAAATGTACTCACCTTCAGGCCATCCAAGATGTAGATGAGTTTGTTTTTTCATCAGAACAGATTTGGAGAAATGTAGCATTCCATCACTTGCTCACCAATGGATCCTCTGCAGTGAATGGGTGCCGTCAGAATGAGAGTCCAAACAGCTGATAAAAACATCACAAGAATCTACAAGTAATCCACACCACTCCAATCCATCAGTTAACATCTTGAGAAGTGAAAAGCTGTGTGTTTAAAAGAAACAAATCCATCATTACGACTTTTAAATTCAAACTGTTGCTTCTGGCTAAAAGTCCTCTATTCATAATATTGCTTTCTCCAGTGAAAAAGTTGTGTTGTCTGAATCAGGAGAGAAATATGCAAAGATCAAGCACCGTTTCCAAGCCAAAACAGGTCTAAACAAATATGTCAGTGGATTTTGAATGCGAGAGACAACAGGGGATGAACTTCTTCGCAGAAGTAAGCATTATTAAGGACTATGGACCGATATTTTGGCTAGTTTAAAGTTAAAAAGACTTAATGATGGATTTGTTTCTTACAAACACTCAGCTTTTGCTTCACAAGATGTTAATTGCTGGACTGGAGTGGTGTGGATTACTTGTAGATTATTGTGATGCTTTTATCAGCTGTTTGGACTCTCATTCTGACGGCACCCATTCACTGCAGAGGATCCATTGATGAGCAAGTGATGCTAAATGCTAAATTTCTCTCTTTAAATTTAAATGAAAAAACAAACTCATCTACATCTTGGATGGCCTGAGTGTGAGTACATTTTCAGCTAATTTTCATTTTTAGGTGAACTGTTTCTTGAAGGCCTGTGGGTGCTATATGATATGAGCATGATATCATCGGCCCATGTCAGATCAGAGAGAGACTAACCCTAGAAATTCCCAGGGGTGCATGTGAGCTCTCCTAGCCTTCTGTCTGCAGTGTCATGTTTGTTTCGGGAGCTGGGATGTGTGTGCATGTCTGTATATGTGTCAGTTAAAGTTGTGTGCCATTGCTGTGTGTTTGCAAGCTCGACTGAAAGTGCATGGATGTGTTTGTCTGTTTGTAGGTGTGTCTTTGTGCATGTACATATTACGATCATTTCTGGAATGGATGAGGAAAAGTTGGAGCAACAGGGTGTCAGATATTTTTAAACAGAGGAAATGAAGTATTTTTAAGTCTGTGATGCATTAGAATGATGTGCCAAATGGCAGCAGATAGTACACAGTGATTTGTTGTGGAATATGGCAGCTCATGAATATTTTTTCATGTCTGATTTACATTTTAGACACCATATTAATCTCATATACAGCAGACTTTGGTCTGATTTCTTTTCCAAAAGAAAAGAAAAACCACACAATTTTCAGTATTTCCTACAAAATAAAGATTGTCAAATATCAACAGTATTAATATATAAATCAAACTTTGATACATTTCTGTATTATTTAGATGTTTATCATGTGGGTGTAATAAAATATGATTTTTTTAAATGAATAAACATGCATAAAATGATTGTCCTGTTTACCTGCCTGCCTGGAATATTTCTGTGTGTGTGTGTCTGTACAACTTAAGATGTAATGTTGTGCAAAGCAATGTTGCTATTGATAACTAAAACGACTAAAAATCGTTTTCTGAAATAAAATAAGATATAAATATTGGATTAAAAATTAAAAATGAGTAATGTTGCCTTGGCAACTAACTGAAATAAGTTTAAGTATTAAAATGACTAAAACTGAAATAAATTAAAACTAAACAAAAATTTCAACATTTTCTAAAACTTAAACTAAAATTGAAATGAAAAATAAAACATATAAAATAAAAGTTAATTAATATTTTGAATTGTTATATAAAAACAATTCAAAATATTAATGAATACTAAATAAATAATCCTAAAATAACTCAAAGGTTTTAACTCTCCAAAAAAAAAATCCATAAGCTCTTTTTGAATTGAGGAATTCCTATCATTTCTCCCATGGAACTGTGACCTTTCACCCCTGAGAACTGTTCTGGTATTCCATTTATTCCTTAACAGAGGATTCCATTGTTCAAAGGGCATTTTGCTATCTTAAGCTACTCAGTTCCTTTGTTAAATTCCTATTCTGATGAATCAGTTGATCTTTTACTTCCATGTGTGGCTGAATCTCACAAAAATGTCAAAAGATTAAAAAGAAAAACGAAATTACATTTTGCATAAAGCATATTTGTAGGACCATTACAATGTATCACAGTTCCCGTTCCCAAATACACAAAATAATGTTCTTTTTAGCAGCATCATATGACCCCTTTAAACATTAAACAAGTCGTTCAATGAATCACATGCTATAAACAAGTATCGGTCTTTGTCAGTCACGTGCGTTTATTATGTGTGACGTCACCGAGGCGCCATTTAGAAGGTATCGTTGCATTGAGCAGTGAACTAAAAGTGTACAGAGCCGTGCAGTAAAGACCGATTAAATCGTCATACTGGAGAAACAGATGCAAACCAAGTAGATACGGTACCGAGATAATCTCAGCTAATTTTTTTAGGAACCGTGATTTATGTAATTTGTCACTGATGATGATTAATAATTAACACCTGATCCATACTACCTGACGCAAAAAGTTGAGTGCCACCGGCATCGCTGCCTCCAACCTCGTTGGATATATGATTATCTTGTTTACAGTATAAAAACGT